CCTCCGACAATCCGCAATGGGTCCACAATGGTACAGAAAATGCACTGCTAACCAATTTGCAGACGGCTTCGTGTCAAGTTGCAGGAGACAAGTAAAGGGAATTCCACTGCTGCATTATCGAGCGCTGGAAAACAAATAGTGAAAGGTGCTATTGAGCCACTGCGCACAATATGCGCGCCGTTCTTTCGTTCAGGTCGATACTTCGCTTTGGAGTTTGAGTTATCAAGGACAAGGAAATGCCCAGCTTGCTATATATATATATATGTTGCATAAAAAAACGGTCCTTGTAAAAAAGCGTCATTTCTATGTAAAAAAGCTGCTTTTTTACAAATTGAGCGGTTGTAAAAATACTGCTTTTTTACGTAAAAAAGCTGCTTTTTTACAAGTTACCTGGTTGTAAAAATACTGCTTTTTTACAAAAATATATTTTTGTAAAAAAGCAGCTTTTTTATGTAAAAAAGCTGCTTTTTTACAAATTAAGCGGTTGTAAAAATACTGCTTTTTTATGTAAAAAAGCTGCTTTTTTACAAGTTACCTGCTTGTAAAAATACTGCTTTTTTACAAAAATATATTTTTTGTAAAAAAGCAACTTTCTTATGTAAAAAAGCTGCTTTTTTACAAATTAAACGGTTGTAAAAATACTACTTTTTTACAAAAATATATTTTTGTAAAAAAGCAGCTTTTTTACGTAAAAAAGCTGCTTTTTTACAAAATATATTTTTGTAAAAAAGCTGCTTTTTTATGTAAAAAATCTGTTTTTTTACAAAAGATATTTTTGTAAGAAAGCTGCCTTTTTACGTAAAAATCCTGCTATTTTACACATAGACCATTTGACAAACCCATTTATCAAAGACAGGCTGTTTTCTATAGCATGGTTCGAACTTTTTCGTGCGCTTCTCAAACCGTAGATTATAATATATACGGCTAGTCACGTTTACGTTCCCGTGTCCCCTTTATTGTGGGGCTTTTAAATTCCCTTGTTAACTCGCTGACAGCGTTACAAATTTACGTTCTTTTTATTCTTTTTATTATTTTCTTCTTGTTTCCTTTGTCATTCAATTTTCCAGGACCTTTTAATTGTTGGATGCGAAGAAGGAACAGGCAGTAATTTCATTTGTTATGCTTATCGGCCGAGGTCACGCACGGCAGTAACTGCATGTTAGGCAATAATAGAATAGCTGGGTTGTTCACTGTCTTATTTATAAGCAATGCCTGTCACAATCTCTTGCAGCAACCAAAGCCTTCTATTCTCTCCTACATTGCTACTTTCGTTTAAGCCGAAAACTGTACAGAATATTGTTCTGTATTATTTATCTATTTTCCCAAGGTTATCAGCTGCAATAATCGGTTTAACTGTCAACAAAATACTTGGCTATAATGCTTTGATGCTCTTGGCAGTGGACAAATAAATTATAACTTCATTTCTAGCATAAAATCTTCAGCAAGAATCAACGACAGCAATTGTTAGGCAATTTCCTGTATTATGTATGATGCGCTAAACTTCTTTCCCGGGATTCATGCTATGTTGAAATCCACGTTGATGCATGCAAGAGTGTCATGTCTGCGTTACAACTTTAAGCTTTCAACATGATGTAGGAACATGTTCAGTCGGCTAATCAAGCAAAAGGAAACGCTAGCCTTTAGCTACAAGCGTACATACACTCGCATGTTAGTCTAATTTTTGCAATACACAGGGCAACTTGTAAGGCCATAAAAACAGCAGCCGATTTGTTTATAACAATTAGGGACTATAAAGGCGGTCTGTAACGTACGCCAATGGGTGTTTTATTTTAGAGATCGAGAAATAAGCCCGAAAACACTTGTAAAGGCTAAACAACTTTAATATGAACACAAGCTGAATTCGCCAGCAACATTTAGTGTGGAACCGTTTTTTTACAAAATATATTTTTGTAAAAAAGCTGTTTTTTTACAAATATATATCAGTGTAAAAAAACAGCTTTCTTACGGTACCGTTTTTTTACACAACATATATATATATATAAATACTTGTATTCTGGGTAGAACGTATTCCGTAGAGCGCTCAATTCATTTAATTGAAGAGCATTGACTATTAATAATCACAGGAGTTCAGGCTTCAGGAGTAATCATTGATCGTTTATTGCGACAGTGCTGTTTCGTATGGTCCGAAATTGTAGGACCACACTCATCAGGCAACTTCAGCGATTGACCGTTAAAATTAAAAGCTGGCAGTAAATATAGGGATGCGTTAAGAGATAGTATCTAGGTAACAGATGGATTGTGTCTTAGTTACGTTACTCTAGAGTTCTGAAGTACATATCTGTTTCTGTGGGGGCATGAACTCGCTAGTTCGTTTCGCCTGTTTAGGCTACAAAGCTCTTTTTTACAAATGATGATAAACTTTTCATAAAGACAAAGATTACATTTTTTGCTAATGTTGCTATAGGCTTTACATTTCTTTAAAACTTTCCATTTTATCTGGAAAGGTTTGTTAGAGTCTTGTAAAGTCCAAATATATTTTGATAGTTCCGTTTCATTTCTTCTGTTCGAGCGTCGAAAGGAGGACTGATGGTTTCTGTAACGTTCCTTAAAGTTTGTTGCCAGTCCGACGTAAGTTTCAGTTGTCGTCGCTGTAGTTACAGTGGCTTGGTAGATTACATTTGATTGGAGGCATTTTCCTTCGAGTGGACAATCTGGTTTCTTTCTGCAATTGCAGGTGTCAGGTTGTTGCGTTGGTGAGTTGAAATTTGAAAGAACGTACTTGTTGTGTGACGAGATGACAGATTTCATGTTAGGCATGCATGAGTAGCTTAGTTTTAGCGTGTGTCTGTTGAAAATCTTGTGGAGTGGGTGGTTTTTTGGAAAGCATTTGTCGACGATGTGCAGAAATTTTCTTCCAAGGTTAGTTCTGACGTTTGAGTTGAAAGGAGGGTTGTACCATGTGATGTTTCTTGTTCGTTTTCTTTTGTTTTTCGGAGCTTTCTCTTGTGGGGGGGTTGTATGCTAACTTGTGGTCGTATCCGCTTTCTGTTAGAGCTTTCTGGTAAGGGGCAATAGATTCGTCAAATACTTCTTTGCTGGATGAGATGCTAGTTAACCTTTTGTTAATGTTGAGTGGGATATTCTTTAGTAGTGCTGGGGGGTGGTTGCTCTGTTGGTGGACATAGGACAGTTTATTATTAGGCTTCATGAATGGCTTGTAGCACCCGTTTGTGAGGTTGAAGGTCACATCAAGAAAGTTGACGACCTTTTTGTTAGCTTCGATTGTGATTTTAAGGCCATTGGATTTGAACACTTATATATATATATATAGTATATATCTTTCAGCTTTGGATCCTGCTAGCGAGAATCTGCTTATCATTCACCTTGACGATGAACTTCTACCACTTATCGATAGTGCCAGGCTTGAGAATAATTTCCGTCGTCATTGAATTCTTTGTCCAAATGTTTACCACGATTGGGTCTTCAATTACTTCCCCTGTCTCATCTCATCTGAGCTAAGGGTACCTGTATTCAGTTCAATGTAACACTCCGGCATATTGCCCAGTTCACCAGCCACTCCAAATCTGAGTTGTCAGGGTAAATTCGTCCAATAAATGCATGTCTGATAATCAAGAACGGCCGAAGTCATCGGCGCTCTTGATCTAGATCCGCTCGTAACTTTCCTCGTTGGCTGTAACTGGAGTATTTCCCACTAAATTATCAAATTGAAAGTGGCTCTAGTCATCCTTATGCTAGAGAAACGTCGCCTGGTTTCTGCAGTATCTTTTATTTTCCTTTAAGCAAACCACGGTTCGTGTCAAAACTCGCTGAAAGAACCGTTTTTTAACCAGTGGTATAGCTAAGTTAGTGATACGGATGGCTTGACGGACGCTTCCATCCACACCACCCTACCCCTTGCTCCGTTAGCCACAGTTCTAATGTTTCACCTATTACTTTTTTTATTGTTGTTATTAATAATCATTAACAAAGTGCTTTTTCCTTTTCAGTTGCCATGAACGGGAAAGTACATATCGGCTTTGCATTGTTCGGCCTTGGACGCGCGGGCACGATCCATGCCAATAATATAATAAGAAACCCGCAAGCGAGGTTAAAGTACATTGTGGATATTGACGAAAACAAAGCCAGGGAATTCGTGGAATCGAATCTGTTGGAAACCAAAGTTGTTCCTCCATCCGAGGTGGAGACTGTCTTAAATGATCCAAGTGTTACCGCCGCTGTAATTACCACTCCAACCCATCTTCACGAAGACCTCGTTGTAAGCTCCTTGAAGGCGGGAAAAGCTGTCCTTTGTGAGAAACCAGTTGCTACTACCATGGAAGCCATAGGTTTGTATTTTCGTTTGGTATCAAACCCCGGGGGTACTCAACAAAGTTTTTTACAGGGCGAGACTCCTCTTCGAGCGGTTCAATCCCTTACGCTTTTATGGACCATTTTTGACAGAAAGGGGGTACCCTGCCGTTCGTTACCTACTATTGACAAATATTTGGCATATTCAGATAACTTTACGAACTTTGCCTCTCTTTAAGTGCTCAGGGGTTGAAAATTCACTGTCTCTCAAGTATGAATAAATCGTAAAACCAGAGCGTTTTCTGG